TTGGCACACCCAAAGCACTCCTACAGTATCCGGGAGTTGCACAATCTCATGGTCTAAGGAAATGATACTTGACATTAGAAAAGCTTTAGCAAACGAACTACACGATCTTTGTGCTAGGCTTAGGATTGGGTCTCGTCCATCACATCATTCTCCTAATGATGTGATCCCGTTATCAACGACATCCAATGCCCATGGTCAGGAAACCGCAACCATCTATTGATCAACGAGTTAGTCAACTAGAGGCTTACTAGGGACATGGTGTTGTCTATGTATCCACACATGTATCTGAGTTTCCTATCAATACAATTCTAGCATGGATAATAAACGATTATCATGAACAAGGAAATATAATAATAACCAATTTATTATTGCCTCTAGGGCATATTTCCAACAGTTTGGACATCGGAAGTGTTTCGGGTGAAATCGGCATTTTACCAGAGTACCGGGAGGTTACCGGACCCCCCCGGTAACCTAATGGGCCTTAATGGGCCTAGTGGAGGAAGAGGAGAGGAGGCCTAGGGGCTGCCGCGCGCCCCTCCCCCCAAGTCCGAATTGGACAAGGAGGGGGGGCGGCGCCCCCCTTTCCTTTCTCCCCTCTCTTCCTTCTTCCCCAAGTCCTAATCCAACTAGGGAAAGGGGGGAGTCCTACTCCCGGTAGGAGTAGGACTCCTCCTGCGCGCCTCCTCCTAGGGCTAGCCACACCCCCCTTGGCTCCTTTATATACGGGGGCAGGGGGCACCCCTAGACACACAAGTTGATCTCCAAGATCGTTCTTTTAGCCGTGTGCGGTGCCCCCTTCCACCATAGTCCTCGATAATATTGTAGTGGTGCTTAGGCGAAGCCCTGCGACAGTAGAACATCAAGATCGTCACCACGCCGTCGTGCTGACGGAACTCTTCCCCGACACTTTGCTGGATCGAAGTCCGGGGATCATCATCGAGCTGAACGTGTGCTAGAACTCGGAGGTGCCGTAGTTTTGGTGCTTGATCGGTCGAGCCGTGAAGACGTACGACTACATCAACCGCGTTGTCATAATGCTTCCGCTGTCGGTCTACGAGGGTACGTAGACAACACCCTCCCCTCTCGTTGCTATGCATCACCATGATCTTGCGTGTGAGTAGGAATTTTTTTGGAATTACTACGTTCCCCAACAGCTTGGGTGTGCTGGAGCTGGGTCAGTTGAAGCTTATCAGCCTGTAGCCACACAGGGTCTCATCGGCTCATCGAGCCATGCTCCCTCGTCGTCTAGGTTGGTTGGGAAGGAGGAGGAGGAGGAGGAGGAGGAGGATGAGGAGGAGGAGGAGGAGGAGGCCACACATGAAGAAGGGGAGGAGGAGGAGAGCAATGGGGAGGAGGAGTACGATGAAGATTATGGACCTCCACCAACTCAAACATCTCAAGCATCTCAGCTGCCGAAGAGGAATCCGAAGAAGAAGGATTTGCTGAGTCCGGACCCTTTCTAGAGACCGGTTCCTCGCCGGCCCAAGAAGAAAACCGAAGAGACTCGTTCAAAGAGTAACGATGACCGTACCTCCAAGAGGGGAAGGAGCAACTGATTATGCTCTTCGATACTTGCCTCTTTTAGTTTGGTTGAACTTCGTTTGGTTGAACTTGTCTAGTGGTTGTGAAACTACGTGGAACTATGTGTTTGCTATTTGTGGATCTATGTGTTTGCTACTATGTGGAACTCCGTTTACTAATTAGTTGAAGTTCGTTTGAAATGTTATATGCACTTCAAGTTATCTAATGTGGATCTATGTGATGCCCAAGTTTAATTGTTTAAAATCTGTGATATTGCTGTCATATCTGTGAAACTTGTTGTGATATTGCTGTCATATTGAATTTGAAAACAAGCAACCAAATGAACTAGAAACAACAAAACAGAGGACCCTACCGCCAGGGTGCCTGGCGGTAGGGTCAGACACCCTACCGCCAGCCCCCATGGCGGTAGGGTGCACCTACCGCCAGGGTCCTTGCATATTTCGTTACAGAAACTTTACACTGCAAAACACAGGACACTACCGCCAGGGAACCTGGCGGTAGGGTCAAACAGCCTACCGCCAGCCCCCGTGGCGGTAGGGTGAACCTATCGCCAGGGCCATTGCACATTTCGTTACAGAAGGTTTGTACAGCAAAACCCTGCCACACCCTACCGCCAGGGACTCTGGCGGTAAGGTTAGATAGCCTACCGTCAGGCCCCCTGGCGGTAGGTACTCCCTCCGGTCCTTTTTACTCTGCATATTAGGTTTGTCCGAAGTCAATCTCATCCAACTTTGACCAAGTTTATATAAAAAATTATAGACATTCACATAACAACCCCAATATCATTAGATTCATCTTGGAATATATTTTCATATTATATTTATTAGATATTATAGATACTAATAATTTCTAATATAAATTTGGTCAAACTTAGCAAAGTTTGACTTTCGGCAAATCCAATGTGCAGAGTAAAAAGGATCGGAGGGAGTACTTATTCATGTCAGCGCAGTCAAATGGCCATCGTCCCCCTCCATCACACCCTACCGCCAGGGGTTCTGGGGTAGGCTGTCTAACCCTACCGCCAGATCCCCTGGCGGTAGCAAAAGGGTCAAATCCTGAATTTTTTTGAAACCAGGGTCAGATCCTGAAATTCTTTGGAAAAGGGTCAAAACACGAAATTTGGCCTATAACCTTTATCTATTAGCAAATTAGAAGAGAGAGTGAATAAAAAGAAATCTATGTTAACATAAAAAATATCTTTTTAAATACAGTACAGATGCAAGCGCTCATACATACGCGCATACACTTATTTCCATAAACGCGCACACACACACACTACCCCACTGAAGTCATCATATGCGCCTCAACGTTGATGGAAACGTCTCTCCCACTAAAAACGCATCGCCTGAAATCCTGAAGTAAATATAGGAATAATGCGAGCACCAGGACTTGAATCCCTGCTGGGCTGGGAATACCACTATCTTTCTAACCATCCAACTACAGATTAGTTCACAACATAAAACTTAACTGAAGATATATCACATTCGTAGTTTCACTTCAGAGCTTGTCTGCCCAAGACGTGGAGAGTTTCTCTCTTTTGGAACCGAGAAGTGCAGCTGAAAAATAAAATATCACTAATCATTCATAGTTGAGCACGATGTCACCTTTTTTGAACGAACAGACATTCGTAGTTCCACTGAAAATCCATTTTATGGTGTAAAAGAAATATCAGGACCAGACTTGCACGATAGTGTTCGTAGGTGACGTGTATGTTGTATTAAATCCAAAAAACTATGACTAAAATTAGAAGTCACAACATATGCGGTTATAGAGTTGTATAACACCTACATGATTTTCTCCCAAAACTTCCTCCCCCTAGGAGATGGGTGCGAGCAGGAGAGTCATGGAGCACAACCCCATGGATACTACTCAGATCTAAGCAATCACAACACACATTAAAAATCCAACCGAACGAGAATCACGAGAACACATTAGTTGAGCACGATGCCACCTCCTTCACCGCACGGATGTCGGCATGGCGGGCTTATGCATGAAAACCTCGCTGGACTGTTTTCCTAATGGGATGTGGCTGCTACAATTTTTTTTTCCATGAGTTGCCAGACTCCATGCATCCCTAGTGTTGTTGGTAGCATGCCACATGCCCATGCCTCCTCCCAATTGAGTGTAGCAGCCTACGGGGCATGGGAGATCTTGGAAAAGGGGAGGAAGAGGAACCACCCATGGATTTTGGATGAAGCATAACTTTGCTATGGATTCAGAGTGGACCAATCAAGGATTGAGAATCAAGTAGATCTTGCGAGGGGTCAGATGAAGCCATGGTGGTGACTGGCGAGTGGTGAAGAGCGAGAGTGGAATGAACGGGGAAGAGGAGAGAACCAAGAACATAGTTTCCCCTTTTTGGGATGCCGCCTACGATTTCAGCGGTGGGATCCCAACTGGGCGTGAGATGAGATACACTAGCCGTTAAAGGCATGACACACGAGTCAAGAGGAAATAAGTAAGCGCCTTCGTTCATTGACTAGGACACCCCCGCAAACCTCTCGAAGTAGCCTCAAGCAACGAATTGCCCACTTACAAATGAGCCAATGAGCACTTCCCAAAACCCTCGATGCGTCCAGGGCAAGTACTCCTAGGGAGCTTAGAGTTCTAGGTGATACATGAAAAACCGTCAAGCTCTTCTCACAAAGGATTTAGATGCCGTGAAGCTGAAAACGGGCTCTACAAAGGCGTCGTTCTGCACTATAGGGTAGCACCCTGCCAGAGCATAACCGAGAAGCCATGCCCTGTAACACAATCAAAGATTCTTTCGAGCCAGCTAGCTCCTCACTTATCCACAGACGACACGTCGCCAGGGTGATCCGAGGACGAGTCTGTGTGGTCCCGATGACCATGTCCATGTTCACGCTCCTACTCCCGAGTCTTTGTGGTGACTTTGTAAAATTTCAAGATACTATGTCGGCTCAATCTGTGTCAAAGATGCTAGCAAGGGTAGGGTGCAGGACGAGTGTACTGTGTTTTGTTTTTTTAAAAAGGAGCACGAGGACGGGGTCCAAAAATCTAAACTAAACTGAGTATAAAAGCAAAGGAAAAGGGGTGGCACCAAACTTTGCAACCACCCACCATCCCGTCGACCAACCCTCCTCCCTTTTCCCCATCATTTCCTTCCCCGGCCGTCGGTCCGTCCGTCCGGCCCGACCGCGACCAGCCACCGCCCCGTCGTTCGCTGGGTTGCTTCAGATCTCCTCCTCCCCCTACCTCCCCACCCTCCGCCTCCAATCCCACTCCCGCCATTGCGCAAGATATATATAAATCCCATCCCCATCAGCCCAGTCTCCTCCCCACCCGCCCGCGACCTCGCCGTCCGTCTCTCTCCCCCGTCCAACTTCCCTGCTCGCGGGGCATGGCCTGCTGACGACTCATCTGGTGCACAATTCTCTCCCGGATCTGACCCGCCCGCCCGTGCTGCCGCTGGGATCGGGATCGGGATCTCGCGCGGGATGGAGGTCTTCGGCCCCGTCACGCCCGGCCAGGTGACTGTGATTCCCCCGCTCCGCCAATCCCTCGTCTCATTTCGTGGCTGCTCAAGCAATTCCCGCCCCGCCGGCCGAGATAAGCGTCTTGCCGGAGTCAATTTTAGCTCCCCCGCTCCGCTCTTGAAATCGTCTAGTGCAGTACTTGTGTGTAAGCCTACTGAATTTGCTGTCTAAGCAAGCAAGCACTAGGAGCCTCCTGGATCCCTGCCCACCAAAATTGCAGAGGATTACGTAGCGGGGTTAGCTCATGCGTCGCAGCTGTTCTCGACACGCGTGACGTGTACCTGAGCAGCCTGGTTCCGAGTTTAATGCCATGGTTTAAGGTTGCTCCAGGGCTTGAGCAAGAATTAAATTCAGTTCAGCACGTACCCACAAAGGTGTAGTCTTGTGTGCCTGTCACGTGAGTCGGTCCTTACCTCACGACTTTGGTGGCCCGGCTCTGATTTAGTTTCACAACATGTCAACATGACGCATGACATCCAGGCACAAATGTCTTTTTGTGTCACGCAGTTATGATCCAAGAAAGCAGAACACACTTATGCAAAAATGAAAAATTAGAGTTCAGCACTTGAGCTGTGATATTCCACATCTTATTTGGTCAAAAACATCAAAGCAAACAGTCCACCATGCCAAATTCATTGTGCTGGAATATATATCAGTAGATCTACCTTTGCCTGAAGACAGTATAGAGCAAAGTTTACTGGGAGTTGGCTGCTTAACTCCTCAAATCCAAACTTAGGCTGAGCTCTTTTTGTTTCCTAGTCTTATGCTTTTGTTTGCGTTGGCAAATTGCGGCTAGGTTCAATTTTCAATGCTGCCATGGGCTTATGTAACACGCACGGTGTTGTCCTTCCTTGCAGGTGTCATTTTTACTCGGTCTTTTCCCAGTCCTCATTGCATGGGTCTACTCCGAGATCCTGGAGTACAAGAAGTCTTCGTTACATGGGAAAGTGTAAGATTTCTCAGCAGAATATCTGCTTTTGGTTAACTTTACAACTTAGATTCGAGCAGCTGTCATTAAATATACATACCCACTGCCAGCCGCATACTGCTTCTTCAAATAATTCAACAGTTACTTTGTTAATCAGAAGCTGAACAACTACCGTCCTAACTTTGCCCGAATCATCCATTATTTTGTCATCTGCAGTCACTCAGATGCTACTTTGGAAAATGAAACCTCCAAGGAAGATGAGAAGGCTATATTAATTGAAGGAGGCCAGTTGAAATCACCATCGGCGAAATTCCGGAACATGTCTACCAAAGCCAATTTAATACGGTATCATATGAATAAACAATAAGATACATATTTTAGGATTATACGGTCTCACATGAAAATGACGAGTGCTTATGTCATGACGTCGTTGCGGCTTGCAGGTTTATAACAATGGATGAGCCTTTTCTGCTAGAAAACCGTGCTGTACTGAGAGCCATGTAAGATCCTGCAGAATTAATTGCGTCCAGTCTAGATTTTCCAGCTAAGAGATCTGCTATTGAAACTTATGTGTCCACTAACCATCTTGCAGGGCTGAATTTGGCATTGTGCTGGTTTACTTTTACATTTGTGACCGGACAAACATATTTCCAGAAAGCAAGAAGGTACTATGTTACTCTTATTTCTTACTGTATGCATTTTGAATGATGTATCATACAGTAGAGTAGATATAAACTGTAGCATGTGTCGGTTATTTAAATAAAATAGTGTATGCACATTATCCGTATCTCCGAGGAGTGTCATTGTTACTTCTGGTTACATGATCCGCCATGACTTGTTTCCTCATTCATCTTTCAGCAATTAATACCTGCAAGCTGTAATGGTTTGTCTGGCCTAGCTTTAGTTTAGATATGCCTAAATTAAGCTAGAGACTGAGAGCTAGAGCAAAGCAGGTGACATATTTTTTGGCATATCTAACAATTTTAAGCTTTCCATCATCTGGGAACCTGTAGCAAATAGATGGTGGCTTATGCTTGCAACATTTTGTAAGCTGAGTCAGCCAAACTAACTCTTGTGCTCATGTAATAAGCAACTATGTAGGGATAAACCTGAATTATACAAAACAAAACCATATATGCTTGTTATGTGTACGCCTGTACGCTTCTTTTTTGCTCGTATCGTAATCTTTGTTCCTTTTTTTGACAGAACTACAACAGAGACCTGTTTCTGTTCCTGTACATTCTTCTTATCATAGCATCAGCACTTACTTCACTTAAGAAGCACCAGGAGAAATCAGCGTTTTCTGGAAAGTCCATACTCTATCTTAACCGCCACCAAACTGAGGAATGGAAAGGGTGGATGCAGGTTAGTGATTTTACTTCATTGCTTTAGTTCTTCTGGTAAATGCGATTTTAGTCATATCTGTGGTTGGAGATATTGAGAGATTCTGCGTGTGATGGCATTTTCGATACACTTTTTCGCCATTCATCCTTTCAGTTTGCAACACGAAACACAAAGCATGTCTTTGATGCTCATTTAGTGAAATTTCCACCATGTGCTGTGCACATAGTGCACTCATTAGTGCCTTCACTGTTTCTAGTCTACTTCTCTTATATTGCAAGACCAAGTTTTACTATGCATTAAAGTCAAGAGAGTATTTGCATTATTGTCCCAGTCTGCTACTCCATATTCAAACTAGTTCCGGGATAGTCTTCTTCTCATTTATGTTACAGCAATTTATACCACGGAGACATATACTAATATTTCAGTACCGTTTCTGTTGTTGACTTGTCGTCCTTTGTAAGTTTTTTGTAGCTGTATTCTGGCTGTAAGTATGTTACAAACTTATAATTATTCAATCTTCCTCTCCAGGTCTTATTTCTGATGTACCACTATTTTGGCGCGTCAGAAATATACAATGCAATTCGTGTTTTCATTGCTTGCTATGTTTGGATGACTGGATTTGGGAATTTCTCGTACTATTATATCAAGAAAGATTTTAGCATTGCAAGATTTGCACAGGTGCTGAGTCTACCTCAACCTTTATCGCTTCTGCGTATGATAAATTTAATTCTCTTGATTTTTGGACCATCTGTCAGAGACTTAATGGGTAACAAATACACTTTTAACGCAGATGATGTGGAGGCTAAATTTCTTTGTGGCTTTCTGTTGCATTGTCCTTGACAATGATTTTATGTTGTACTATATCTGCCCAATGCACACCCTATTTACACTTATGGTGTACGCATCACTTGGCCTGTTTAACAAGTATAATGAGATACCATCAGTTATGGCTATTAAGATTGCTGGCTGCTTCTTGGCTGTCATTTTGATATGGGAAGTTCCTGGGGTATTCGAAATTTTGTGGGCCCCCTTTACGTTCCTGCTTGGTAAGTTGTCCATATATTTTTCTGTGGATATTCTTCTCAGTCATGGATCAGAGTATTAATCTTTGTTTTTTCTGTCCAATGTAGGCTATAAAGATCCAGAGCCTTCTAAGTCACACTTACCCTTATTGCATGAGTGGCATTTCCGATCTGGGCTTGATCGGTACATATGGATTGTTGGAATGATCTATGCTTACTTTCACCCTAATGTAAGTTTTCAGATATGTATATGTATTCCTCTTCTTCCGTTATGCATGCATACACAGTCAATATTGATAAGTTCTTTCCACAAACTTCCTCTGTGGAGTCTCTCCTGATACATTACAGTAATGATGACAGACTTAGATGTTATTGTCTTATGTATTTGTTCCTTTGTTTATCTCAAATTAATCTAGTATATAACCTTACATACTGAACAGGTGGAAAGATGGATGGAGAAGCTGGAAGAATCTGAGACTAAGGTTAGGTTGTCGATCAAGGGTACCATTGTGACTCTTTCAGTCCTGGTAAGTCACATGACCATCTCATACAAATGCACTGACTTGTTATTTATGTCAGCTAGCTTGGTTGTTACCAATTAGTCAACATTGCTGTGTTAACCTCAATTGCTATACTAACTAGGACTTCTGTTCTTTTAGGCTGGCTATCTGTGGTATGAATATATCTACAGGCTGGACAAAATTACGTACAACAAGTACCATCCGTACACGTCATGGATTCCTATCACGTACGTATAAAAAAGAAGATATCGTAACCAATATGACACGCGGCCAACATTTGTTTCATGCAGTTGACACAGTGCTTTATTTCTTACAGTGTATATATTTGCCTACGCAATTGCACCCAACAGTTGAGGGGCGCTTCTTTGGCTCTTTTTGCGTAAGCATCTACTAAGTTTGTAGCACCTTATATGGATTGTTCAGGCATTTTCCCTTTCCCATTCCTTTGCTTTTTCCATTACTAAGATCGAGATCTTATTTGACAGTTGGCTTGGCAAGGTCACTCTGGAGACTTATATTTCCCAGATCCACATTTGGCTCAGGTATGGAACTAAGCTGTTTCAGCATATGCTGATTCTACTTTTAGTTACTGAATGTTGACTCAGTTCAGTAGTCCAGTGATAAGTATGCTTTAAGATATTAAATGTTTAAGCTCAAGACTCGAGAACAAAAATCGAAGGGACATTCAACTCTGTCTGGAAGACCTTAAGCTTTTTTATGTAGCTTGAGTAGACATCCAGCTGTTCCTGCCTGATAAACCATTAGTAGTTATTCTGTTGGTCTGGGTGCGGTAGTTCCACTAAGTATAGACAAAAGGGCAACTATCACAGTTGAACTTGCGTCTATCTTTACTCGATGTAACACTAATGTCCTTGGCCAAGAACAGAGAGTTTCTTGAAAGCAGATGAATACCTTTTGACCGAAGTGCATCTAGGATTTGTCTTCATTCTCCATGTTTCTGCTTATTGTGCCTCGTGCCTCTGGTTCCTAGACACAGGATCCGTTTTGAGAGCTGTTTCTTTTCTTTTTGCAGGTCTAGTGTACCAAACGGGCAGCCCAAATGGCTTCTGTCTTTCATACCGGGTTACCCGATGCTTAACTTCATGCTAACGACATCAATCTATCTTTTGGTAAGTGTACTGATCTCAGATGCATTTCACAAAACCGGATCATCAAACATGCTAATTCCATGCTCACTCAATGCTGCAGCTATCATACCGGGTATTTGAGATCACAAACGTGTTGAGGGCAGCCTTCATTCCTAGCAGAGATAACAACCGCCTGTACCAGAATTTCGTTGCCGGGGTTGTCATCTCTGTATGTCTGTATTGCTGCTCACTCGTTCTTCTAAAAATTCCGGCTGTATAGGTAAAGCGCAGGACCCTACTCTACACACTCAACAGTTTCCAGAAATCACTACTCGTATATCTTCGAGCTTTTTTACTTACTTGTTCATGTAATTGCAGATGAATAGTTCTTATGGATGTAGAATTGCCAAGTAAATGATACCGGTGGAAGGCTGCTTCTTCCACACGCACAAACGAGGTTTGCTTGGCGGGGATGCCCGGTCCCATTTGCATCTAGGGGCTCCCCTAAGAAGCTGCCCTTGGGAACTTGATCGCCGTGGAGGGAGACGCAAATTTTTGATCATTTTTCTTGTTGTAAAAGCCAACCCATTCTTCTGGGAGTTGTAACAGCTGTCAGCCGTGTAACTGTCAACTTTGGTGTGCACCTTGTTGTTTTGTAACCTGTCTTAGATATTCTTCTATACATACAAGGAAAGCGTTTCCCTCCTGTAAAAAAGAAATAGCGAGTCAACGCATGAACTGTGAAGCATACCTTGTCGTGCTCTGAATTATTTTCGAGTTATTTCGAGAAGGGCAAATGGGGGAAAGGCAAATGGAGCCTGACACTCAAATACTATCTTTATGCCTTGCAAAAGAAAAAAAAAACCTGAAAAAGTGTGCATACACGTATACTTCCTTCGTTCGATGAAAAGTGTACATTTGGCTTTAAAATTTGTCCACAAAAGAGTGTATTTCTAGCTTCCCAATACATTTTAAAATAGAAAAAAATGTTTTTCTTTCTTCACACGGTAATCAAGACCAATAACATTATACATATACTCTCCTTAATTTCTACACGCACTTAGTTCATTGAGGATTGGATAATTAAAGAGGAGAGAGATAATGGCTTGCATCTTTCCAATGCATTTTTTTACTCCACTCCATAATTTGTTCTAAATTTTTTATATGTACACTCTTCACCGGATGAAGGGAGTACGCGTATACTATGTATGTGCAGATTTTTATAATTACGGAGTAATATACTTTCAAAAATTCAAAAAAAACCCCCAAAATGTACATGAAAATGGGGCTTGGATTTTTTGTGTGTAGCTTATATATTACAATATTTTTTAATGAAAATTTGGAGATTCGTAGTTAACATGTAGAATTGCCA